CAGACACCAGGCCTTTTTCTATGCTTTTCTGAATATCAGAGTAGGATGAACACCCAGATTCAAATATGTCACCAAAGTTGGTGGTGATCCTTCCCTGTACCCTTAAGCCATTATGTAATGAAAATATGTTTGCTTGAAGGAACAGCTCAAAGCACCTTCACAAGTTGCCTTGACTTACCCTAGGTGGGTGTGAAAGAGCACCCATAGCAAGGAAAATTTTCTCTACTAGTGTGTTCTTCTGCCTCTTCCCCCTTGATTCAGCTTTCAGAGGTACTATGGCAGTTTTGCCTCAGTTGCTGGACAGTTCTCAGCCCTGGCTAAAAGGGAGCAGTACAGGGAGAGAAACAGGATAGGAAAGCAGAATGGCGAGCAGCCTATGGCCCAGGGCCTGTAATCCCTTCCCAAGACTGGCTGCTCAGGGTGGTGCAGGGACAGGACCAGACCCTGCGCCCACTTCCTGCCCTCTTTCCCCTGTAGGGAACTCTCCTGTAGGCTGAGCCACTGTCTTGCTCTAATGACATCATATCATGTGCCTTTCTCCACAGCAGTGAGCAGTGAGCTACTCCTGGCCCAGGCCCTAGGGGAAATGGATCAGTCTTTGAGGTTTCTATTTGGGGAGGGCAGTACTTAAGACGAGTCAGGAGACACTTTCCTCTGTTCCTTTCCCCATCTCAGGGACTCCTGAATATTCAGCCTCCTCAAGCTGATATCTTCTAGTTTCCTCCACTGGGAATGCTGGCTGGGAGAGCCGTGACTACCAGACTTTTCCTCAGGCTCCTTGGCATGTTAGTCTGAAGTGTTCTTGAGCACTGTACTACTAACCCAACAACTGTGACTAGCTGGTCATGCCATTCAGGGCTGGTGTGGCATTCGTGTGTGTGTGTGTGTGTGTGTGTGTGTGTTTCCTGTTTGCCCCACAGTGCATTGTGGGATCCAAGAGTGGGTTGTGTGTGTGTGTGTGTGTGTGTGTCAGAGGGAGCCCGGGCAGTACCTCTTTGAGAGTAGCTGTGGTCAGAGCTGTGTGGTCAGTGCATTATGTTGGATGAGGTCCAGGAACCCAGAGCCACCCAGCAGACACCACTGTGGCTTGCCAGCCGCCAAAATGGAGAAGCATGTGCCCCTATAGAGTGTCTCCCCAGGACCAGACCCTGAGCCACTCGCTTCCTCTGTGCTGTGACAACATTGGTGCCAGGGGAGATGGTGTTTTTCAAAGGGACCTACTGTAGCCACTTTAATTTACAATTAAGAGCCTTAGTTTGACTTAAGACTTTTATAGGCTTTTCATTTTGTATTTTTGTGTATGCGTGCATATAGTAGCTACTCTGTAGCAGAGGTGGGTAGAGTGTCTTAATAGTATCATGTTGTATGCAGATGTCACATCGGCCTCTGCAAAAACTGTACTGTCTTGTTTCTGCATCAGACTTAAGTAGTCATGTGAATACACTGCTGAGTCACTTTTAATATTACGAGTTTTATACTTGGAAAAAGGTACTTGCTTCTTTTAAATCTGTCTTCTCTAACCTCCCCCTTACCATTTCAATGCTCCTTTCCTAATTTCAGCAATAATCTCAAAAAGCAATTAAATAGTTAAATGACCCTAATTGTAATTACTGTGGATGGTTGCATTCATGATTACTTGGGCACACACGAGATCACAAATGGGGCAGTGGCCATGCTTGAATGGGCTCCTGGTGAGAGATTGCCCCCTGGTGGTGAAATGGTCGTGTGTGCCCACTGATACCATGAGCAATGAGAGAGACACAGTTAAGCAGCAATCCATCTCATTTCCAGGCATTTTAATAGGTTGCTGATTGGTCCCTGTACTGGGGGTGGTAGTCATACGTATTTCAGAGAGGTCTGAAATTCACGTTCTTAGTTTGCCAGGGACAGGCCCTATCTTACAATTTTTTCCATCTTCATCATCCACTTATGCTTACAGTTTGCTGCTTACAATAACTTAATGATGGATTGAGCTGTCTGGGTGGTCTCTAGCCGTCTGGGCAATGTGGTTCTGTCTAACCAAAGGGCATTGGCCTCAAGCCCTGCATTTGGTTTAGGGGCTGACAGAGCTCTTCAGATCATCTTCACACACATGTAACTGCTGGACATCTTATTCTATTATGAATAAGAAATGAGAAGTTTTTCAAAGGGTTAGTCAGGATCTGAAGGCTGTCATTCAGATAACCCAGCTTTTCCTTTTGACTTTTAGCCCATTCAGACTTTGCCAGAATCAAACCAAGGACTGCTTTTTTGCTACAGTTTTCTGCCAAATGGCCTAGTTCCTAAGTACCTGCAAACCAGAGAGAAGGAGGATCCAGGATATGCTTGGATGAGGAGGCCTGGCTCATCTAGGAAGTCATGTCTGGGGTGCTTATTGCTGCTCCATACAGCTGTACGTAAGCCCCTTTGCCTTCTCTGTAGGTTCTTGGCAGCAATGAGCAGCTTTCAGCCAGTGACACAAGTAATTACTGAGTCCTAATTTGATAGCCACCAACTATACCTGGGTAGGCAAAGTCAGATTTTTGAGAACCTTTTCTTGATTTGAAGTTTTAATTGCCTTATTTTTTTTATGCTTTCCTCTGTCTTGTAATCTCTTCTCTTCTTAATATCCTTCCCTAGAATTTCAATTATTTGGATTAATTTTAGAATAAACCTATTTATTTCTTTAAAAAAAAAAAGTGTTACCTGTGTCTTTGTCTCACATAAATGTGCTTCATACAGCTGCAGTGCTGCCAAGGTTGGCTTTATTTTTTGGAGACGAGGTTTCGCTGTCACTCAGGCTAGAGGGCAATGGCATGATCATCACTCACTGTAGCCTTGACCTCCTAGGCGTAAGTGATCCTCCCACCTCAGTCTCCCGAGTAGCTGGGACCACAGGTGTGCCACCATGCCTGGCTAATTTTTCTGTATATTCTGTAGAGACAGTTTCTCTATGTTGCCCAGCCTAGTCTCTAACTCCTGGGCTCAAATGATCCTCCCTCCTTGGCCTCCCAAAGTGTTGGAAATACAGGCATGAGCTGTCCCTGCACTGGGCAAACATTTTTCAACCCTTGACACATGAAAATAAGCAGAGGCAGGAATGTAATGTAACAGTATAGTCCATACCTCGGCATCTGGCATCTGTCCTCCAATCCGCCAGTCATCAGATCAAAGCACACTTGGAAAAATTTAAGTCAGAAGTGGAACAGATGGGAGACCACTGTCTGAATCTTGTTTGCCATCAGCATAGGTATTGATAATCCTTTACTAGCATATATGCTAGGAACGGGGTCCTACTAATCCCTCTTATGAACAAGAACATTACGCTTGTTTCTCAACCTCCAGCCTCTGCCCCTTTCCTGGCCTTTGCTGGGGGACCAACTCATCCAGGTTGAGTTGTGACGTTGCTAGATTCCTGCTCCAAGGGACCCTGGCATTTACAAGTCAGCTTAGTACTTGGGTTAGGAGACACGGGTGAGAACTATTAGGAAGAAGGCTTCTCAGTCTCTCTGCATAATGACATATGTGAGGTGAAATTTGTGTAGCATGCAGTTGGGGTAGAGATGAGGCTGCTCTCAGGGCCCCCTTCTTCATGACACAGCGTGGGAATATTCTGTCCTAGAGAGTTCCTGGCTGGGGAACTGACTTTGCAAACCATCTCTTTAACTGCTCCAGTGATAAATAGCCTGCCGGCTCCTAAGCTGCCTATGTCTTCTCTCTAGTGGAGTAAAACCAGGCAAGCCCTAAGAACTTTGCTAAGATTTTAAGAAATCTGAAGAGACCATCAGGATTTGAGATCTCCCGTATCTGATACGATAGGCCTGTGTATTAGGATTCTTCAGAGAAACAGAACCAGTACACAAAGAGAAAGAGATTTCTTATAAGGCATTGGCTCATGTGATTATGGAGGCTGACAAGTCCCGAGATCTGCGGTTGGCAAGCTGGAGAACCAGGAAAGCAGACGGTATTGTTGCAGACCGGAGGCTTGCAGCCTTGAGACCCAAGGAGAGTGGATGTTTCAGTTTAAGTCCAAAAGCAGGAAAGGACCAATGTCCCACCTCAAGGCAGTCAGGCAGGAGGACTTCCCTCTTATTTGGAAGAGGGTCAACCCTTTTTAGCCCTTTTATTCTATACAAGCCTTCAGCCGGTTGAATGAGGCCACCCATGTTAGGGAAGGCAGTCGGCTTTACTCAGTCTATTGATTCAAATGTTATCCTCATTGAGAAACACCCTCACAGACACACCCAGAATGCTTGACCAAATGCCTGGGCACCCCATGGCCCAATCAAGTTGACATGTAAAATTAGCCATCACAGCCAGGAAGAAAACACAGGTTGAGTATCCCTTATCTGAAAGGTGTGAGACCAGAAGTGTTTCAGATTTTGGATTTTGGAATATTTGCATTATACTGACAAGTTGAGCATCTCTAATCTGAAAATCAGAAACCTAAAATGATCCAATGAGTATTTCTTTTGGGCATCATGTTGGCATTCAAAAAGTTTCAGATTTTGGATTTCCAATTTTCAAAATAGGAATGTTCAAACTGTAATATGGCCCCCAGACTACCTTTCTAGACATAGGTTCCACAATGCATATAATACCTGTGCTCTTACACACCCTTATCTGTGTTCATGGTGTTCTCTCAGCCATCTCTGCCTCTCAGGAATCCTACTCAGGTCTTCAAGGCATAACTCAAAGCCTCCAGATTTGCCCTTTTCACCATTAATCACTTGTGTTCCCCTTAGCTCATTTCTTATCCTGCCATCTAGCATTAATTCACCCTAGTAATAGTTAATTAGTACTAGTTAATTGTTAATTGGTAATAGTTAATTTGTGTTCCTGTGTGATGATAATCAAATGATATCCCCTAGATGATAATGAATCTGAAGGCAAGGTGGTCTGGTCCCTCTCTTTTCCCTGTACCTTGAACAGTGCCTAGCACAGAGGAAGTGCTTTCATTTAAATGCCTATTGACTCCAATTTGGATTGACCTGTGGAAAATAAGTTTCTAGAGTCTGAGACCAAGTGATACAATAGTTTTATTTGAGACATAAAAGCACATGTGTTTCTGTTACATAGTGTGGGGTTTAGGGTCCTGGTTTCTAAGACAAGACTTTATTTCACCCTGTATCACAGCTTCCTGGGAAAAGAATTAGGGAGACACAGCCAGGCAAGAAAATCATTGTTGCTGGGGAGTTGAAAAGAAAGGGGAGAACTTATTCAAATTAGTGTAACAGAGCCCCCAGGACGAAGAGAGTGGTGCAGGGAAAAGGTCTAAATTCCTGGTGTTGGTGGGGACGCTGGCACATCCCACAGCAAGGACTCACCCCTCAATGGAGGCAGCTGGGTCTTGGGAGGGGAGCAGGGGGAGGCCGGGGGCTCCTCAGCTCCCTCCCTAGATTCCCAGTTCAGTCACCCCTTCCCCCTGAAGAATTCAAAGAGGAAGGGCAGGGTCTACGTCATGGACACTGCTACTTGTTCGATGAAGCTAGCCAGGTTTATGTCCCGTTCTGAAAGGCCAGCACACTCATGGGTGCTCAGCGTGATGTGAACCTGAAACGAAACCAGAAATTCTGCTTCCGCTGACTTAAGAACAGGAGGGAGTCACCAGCTGCTGGGCTCAGCCCCGCTAGGAGCTCCAGAATAGCAGCTGGCCACTACAGTCTCTCCTGGGGACTCCTTCCTGACATGTCTGTAACAACATCATCTACATCTCCCCTTTGCTGTCTTTCAAAAATAATCGTGACTCAGCTATAGAATAAAAACTTAACATCCAACTGTCAAGAGCAACCTAAAAGCTAAAGACAAAACCAAAAACCAGTGTCAGCTCCTAAACACTATCCATTCACAGATGGCCTCTTCCACCCTTACTGTTTTTATAAACAGAGACTGCAGAGCTTTTGGCACATGCTAGATATTTAATGGCTGTTTCCATTTATTAAGCAAATAATTTGATAGGTTGGCTATGTGTGTGTATTCTTAGTTCATTACTTTTTCATTCTTCCATACCTCCAGCAAGATTAAAGCCATTTAGAACTATGAACACTGAATAAGTATGCCTGATTCCCACAGCCTTTCCTTTCTTGGGTTTTGCCTTCTTAATGTCTACTTTAACCACAACTATCTCATGCATCTTTTAATTTGCATTTCTTTATAGTAGACTGATTTTTTTTCCAGGGGTATTTTTGTTGATTCTAGGCATGTGCAATCTCAGTGAGATTGGAAATGAGATGAGTGGATGACCTATGGGTCAGAAAGCTGCATTGTTAAGTCCAAAAGCCTTCAGAATGTGTCAGAGTTTGCAGTACTTGGACGGGGGCAGAGCACAACAGAGGCACACAGCATCACTCACCTTATTGTACACGTTAAACCATTCAGGATGGTGGTCCAGTTTCTCAGCCTGCAGGGCCACTCTTGTCATGAACCCAAAGGCCTATTTAAGTGGAGCGAGAGCCAGGTTAGTGTTTTAAGAGAAAGGACTTCTGGACATCACCAATTCAAGGCCTAGACGAAGGAGGATGAATTAACTTCCCCCCAGGAGACTCCTTTATCTTTAAATCATTTCCCCCTTGACATTCTGTCACTGGTTCTCAGGCTTGAGTTAGAGATTGTCCCTGCAGTAGGAAGAAAGTCTTGCTATTTAGGACGCCAACAAGGTGGAAACACCACAACAGGCTTTTGGTCTGGCCAGTCTTGGCTGTCGGTTCAAATGTCTTCAGCTGTGCATGTTTTCTACTTGAACTATCTCCTCAGAGGACTGCTGCTACAAGTTCCAGGAAGGCAGAGCCCAAGACACATCCTCCTCCTCTCCAGTCCCCAAAGATGATACTTTCTGAATTAGGCAGGAAAATAAATATCCCCCCCGACACAGTTATCCAAATAACTGGATGAGTCTGGGGTCTCAGAGTCTTGGCTAACGAGACGTGAAGGGACAGAACATGCTTTGTAAGGTGACCCCATCAGCCCCAGTCTCAGAAAACTCTGTCCTGCCCTGGTGCCATACCCTGTTGAAGTCTTTGAAATGAAACTGCTTGAAGATGGCATCGCGGCCTTCCAGCTCATTCCACCCCACGGCCCTCAGGTTTGGCAGCAGCTGGTCCCTCTCCTCAGCACTCAGCCTGTGTGCTTTGCCAGCCTAGAAGAGGGGAAAAAACAGAGGCCCAAGAGCATTTCTTTTTATAGGTCAAAACAGGGGCTCCAGCCTTTAGGGGAACTTAGCCAGCCTCCACTGGCTGCTTTGGACGTGGGTGACCAAGGGCAGCAGGTCTTTGAGCAATAAGCTGGAAGCCCTCAAGGGTGGCACTCTGCCCAGGAGGTGGGGTCCAGGCTTGTCCGCTGATAGGCTCTCAGGTCTTGGGTTTTACACTCCACACAGAGAAAGGAAATCCCAAAAGCAATGCAATTCATATGACGGGGACAGAGACACACTCTTCCCCTACCCTGCCCTCAAAGCCTTACAGACCTTCCCTCCATAAGATCTATTACATCAGTGAGGGCGTAAAAGCAAAATAAATCCCAGATGCAAATATATTACTCCACAACCTCTGAGGAAGAGTACCGTGACTGTCCCCCCTTCCTTTTCCTATTATGTACTTTATCATATGCACCCCACGTCCCTACGGTAACTTTCATGTGTATTGAAGAGGAAACAGGCCTAGAGAGGGGAAACGACTTGTCTGCTGTTCTTTCCTGCCCTCCCCTAGCCAGGGATGGCGCAGTGTTGTCTGTGTGTCAGCATCCCTGGGGCTGGACAAAGGAGCTGCATTTAAAATAAGTGTCCAGCCCATTCTTAGCCACACTGTAGCTGACCGTGTTGGCACTACCTCTAGTAGTGGTCCTCAGTCATGCTCCCAGGCAGTGGTCCTCAGTCATGCTCCCAGGCAGCCTCTGGTCCTGAGCCGCCAGGGCTAGGTTCTCTGGTTTTCCATCTCTTTTCTGGCTGGTTGGGAAGCTCAGGCCACAGAACTCAGTCCCCAAAGTGGAAGGAACTTGGCCAAAGGCAGCTGGCAAACCTAGTGCCCTGTCCTATTTACCTAATGTGCAAAGTGCCCTCAACGCAGCCCAAATTGGCACAATTCAGGCCATGAGTGGAACCTCAGAGAATGCAAGGAAGCAAGGGTCAGTTTCATCCTAGGAGGATGCAGGTCTAGGAGCTTAACGGATCCCAGAACCTAGGCTTCTAGAGTAGCACCACCCCAGGGCAGAAATAGAGTGCTGAATTGAAAAGAAATACTTAGGGGTGGGGAGGGAATGTGAGGGAGGTTAATTTAGCTTTTATGAGGCAGCCTGCAGACTGAACACCATGTGTTGATTGGCAGGAGGTTTGAGCCCCGCTTTCACCATTTACCAGCCAGGTGGCTGTACCTCTCTTGGCAGAACCTCTACCTCCACAGATCATCATGAGGTGCCAATGGGACACTTTAGGGAACTCCACTGCTATAAAGCAAATGTCATCTGCATTACAAAAAAATACCTCCTAAGGCAAGTAGGCTTGTGATGGGCCTGGTAGCATTTGTGGTAGCTGAAGCAACGCAGTGCTTTCCTAAGTCCGTCTTTTTTCCCTCCTATTTCCCTCCTGAAAACGTGAGCTCTCTCTGGACTGAGGGAGCTTGGCCCCTCTCCTCTCCTCGGCTCTAGATGGCTACAGGGATTGAATGGCAGCAGCGATTTGCATCATCTGCCCAGTAGGGAGGTCTCTACTCCAGAGCTGGCCCTCTCCCCGTGGCTGACCGCCTGGTCCGTGTATCCAGACAATCAGAAGTCAGCCAAAGCATCAGAGCCCACTGTTTACTTCCTTGGCTCTTAAAGGGGTGGGTGAGTCCAGGTGAGCGCTTAGGAGGCTTCTGGAACCCCCCAAGTCGCACAGCCTGGGGCTGAACTGACAAACCTTCCAGGTGCCGGCTCTGGAGAAGGGGACGGTGCCCTGTTTGCTTAGTAAATCCCCGCCAGGTCTTGCCTCCTCTGGCGAGGTGTGGGGAGTGGTCGCCGATTTCCCAAGCCTGCATTTCTGGGGGCCTCAGCGCCCCTCACAAACAGCCCCACTCATCGTCCGTCCCCCAAGTCCCTCTCCCTTCAAAAGGCCCTCCCAGTCTTGCCTGCTCCGAAGGCCTGTGGGCCAGAAATGGTCTGAAGAAGCTCCCGAGCTTACAGCAGAGCAAGGGGCCCGCCCCCACCCCGGGGGTGGGTGGCGGAAGCTCGCCCGGGAGGAGGGCTGCTCCTGCGCCACCAAGCCCCCGCGGCCGGGCATGGGCCTCAAACCGGCGCGGGGGCTGGCTCTGGAGCCCGAGACAGCACACGGGCTCACAGCGTGAGTCCCAGGCCGACAGACCCTGTATCCAGAGTGCGAGCGGGAAGGGGCGCGGACAGGCCCGCACAGGAGCGCGCAAACTCAGCCTGCCTGTCGCTCCCACCCCAGTATAAAGCCGAATCGGGCCACTAAGGGGACGAGATATGCGGACTCTCCCACCACGGTCCTCCCCGGCCCTGTAAGGTCGTAGGCCCCGCCCCCAGCAGGGTCCGGGAACAAGCACTGGCCTGGGTCAGGGCAGGCCTGGCCTCCCAACTGGCTGGGACCGGGACCCGCCGTGCCCCTCTCAGGGCCACAGCTTCCCCTCCCCGTCGCTGGCGACAGGGACCCGGGCAGAGACCTCACTCTCGGACCCCGGCGGCTCCGCAGGGGGCTCGAAAAGACCCTCCCCCGCCCTGTCCCGCTCCCACCTCGCCCGCTGCTGCCCCGATCGCGGCGGCGCACCCCTGGACTCACCATGGCGCGGGCGGCAGCAGGTGGCCGGCGGAGAGGGCAGGCGGCGGCCGGGCGCGCAAGCGGCCGTCCCGGGGCGGGGCCGCGCTCGGACCGCCCTCCGGTAATGGTTAACGTCCCCAGCCAGGGACGCGCTCGGCCTGCTTCCTTCCAGTACTTTCCTCGCTGCTCAGAGCCAATCCTCCGAGCTTGTTTCAGGGAGCTAGGGTGAAGCATGAGGGCTCCAAATGCCCGCTTCAGGGTTGGAATCCCACCCCGCCGCTTACAGCTGGGTGGCCCTGGGCGCCAGAATACCTATTTATTTCTTTATAAAAATCTTTTACTTAGATAGAATTGACATGCAGTAAGTTGCACATATTCAACGTGTACAATTTGATAAATTTTAATGTTTCCCTCGCGAGACCATCACTGAGATCAAGATTATGAGCATATCAAGTTTCCTTGATGACTAATGATATTGAATATCTTTTCATGTACTTATTTGCTAAGGATAAGTCTTTTTTAGTGAATAGCATGTTTGAATTTCCTGCCCATTAAAAAAGAAATTGGGTTGTTTGTTTTCTTATCGAGTTTTGAGGGTGTTTTTTTCTGGATATAAGGACATGATCAGGCAGTGCTTTTCAAATATTTTCTTTGAATTATCTTACGCTGCCTTTCAAAGAGCAAACGTTCTTAATTTTGATGAAATCCAATTTATCAAATGCTTTTTTGATGGATTTCTATTTTGATGTTGTACGCATAGAAATCTTGGCCTAATCCGAGATCACAAAAGTTTTCTCCTATGTTTTAGAGCTTTGGGTTTTACATTTAGTCTGTGATCCACGTTTAGTAAATATTTTTGTATGCTTCAAGTTATAGATCCAGATTCACTTTTGCACGTGGAGATTCAGTTATTCCTTTCTCCACTGAATTGTCTTCGCACCTTTGTAAAACATCAATTGACTATATATGTGTGGGTTTATTTCTGAGCCCTTTCTTCTGTTCCATTGATCTGTTTGTCCATCATGACAGGACGTGACCTTGTCTTGATTATTATAGCTTTATAATAAGTCTTAGAGTCAGATTAGAAAAGTCCTCTCACACTTTACATTTTTTCTATTAACTTTTATTCTTGTACTCCATTTTTATTCCCCCCCGCCCGCCGCCACCGCCCATAGCAGCCTCTCTAATGTGTTAATGTGTATTTTTGTTTGCACATGTTCTTGCAAAATTTGTGGTGTTGTTTCGTCTATATGTATTTTTAAATTTATGTAAATGGTATTATGTAAATATATTACATTTCTCAGTCTCTTTCTTACAAAACAGAGTATTTAGTGGAAAATTAAGATCTACCCATGTTGCTATATGTATATTCAATCTGTAGCTTTTAACTGCGGCCTAGTATTTTGTAATGAGAGTCTGCCGTGGTTTCTTGTTCTATCAGTGATGGATACTTAGGTTCCCTCCAACTTTCTGCTGCTACCACCACCTCCCAAACCCGTGAGTATGTGGGCACACACACACATACACACACAGAGTTAAACAACAATGCTGCTGCAGTGAGCATCTCTAATAGCTCCCAGGGCTGTGGGCAGTTTCTTAAGTATATTCATACCCTATGAATCCAGCAATTCCCCCCATGGGTGTGTATCTCAAAATAGTTCCAGATGATGTCCAGAATGGGGACACCAGTCCTCATTCTCGCCCGCACAGTGTGAGGGGGTACTATTTCCATATGAACCTTACACATACATACTCACACTTCCTGTTAGCCAGCTTTTTATTTTTTGTCAGGCTAATAGCTATCAAATGAAGAGTTTATTGTGATGCAGGATTTCTTTTGACCCCTTTGCTGGGGTTGCAGCAGGGAGTGCCCTATGTATTCAGCTTGCAGGCCACATCTGGTTTGCGTTCCAGCCCACAGCTCACGTGGCCACCGCAACTGCACGCTCAGCCCCTGGCATGAGGGAGCATCTGAGAGAGTGATGCAGGGTTTGGCCAGCTGCATCGAGTCATGACACGGGAGCAGGCTCCGTGCGGCGCCCATGGCCGGACCAAGTGTGTCACCCCAAGAAGACTGTGGCAGCACCCAGGCAGGGGTGCCTGAAGCCCCAGAGAGGAGTGTTACAGAGCTAATTAGCTCTTTTTGCTCCACCATCTGCAGCCTGATGGACAGCAGCATGTTAGCAGCTCTGTCAGCCCCTTTCTCCACTCTGGCCTGTGGCTCCAGGACCAGCTTGGCCCTGCTGCTGCTTCTGTTTTGTGGGGCAGCTGCCTCCACCAGTGAGGGCAGATGGCCAGTGTTACAGCATTTGTGGGTGCCGTTTGGTGGGTCCTGAGCTCTTGTCCTGCATCCAAGAAGAAAGAGGTCATGCTGACAATTGAAGGGTGATGAGGATGGAGAATTTTATTGAGTGATGAAACAGCTCTCAGTGGAGAGGGAACGAGAAGGTCGCCTTGTCTCCCTCAGTGTGGCTGAGTCTAGGGGGTTTTATAGGCACAGGATCGGGGTGGGGCAGGCTGTAGGTAGTATTAGAAAAGGCAACATTTGATTGGTTAAAAAGTGTTATTCAGAAAGAACCAATCAGGAAAGAGTGGGCAAACAGGAACAGAAGTTCTCACCCTGGGTTGAGGGGTTTCATCCCAAACCAGCAGTCCAGGCTGTTTTTGGCTTGAATGTGGGGTTCACTGGGGACCCGCCCTATCTGCTTAGGTATTTGTTTACTTCCTGCTACTCTCAATTGTTTCACCCTACATTGTTTTCTGATGACTAATGAGTTTGAGAACCTCTTCATATGCTTGTTACCATTTGGGGGTTACTATTTGTGAATTGCTTTTTAATATCCTTTGCCAATTTTTGAGAATTTACAGTGCTCCTTTTTATAGTTGGTTTGTGGGTGTTTATATAAAATCTAGACATTAATTGCTTGTCAGTTTTGATATTGCAAATATCTCCTCCCATTCTGCCATCTGTATACTAACTTATTCCATGAGATCCATGATGTCTGTGGGCAGAAATCTTATATTTTGGTGTAATAAGATTTATCTTTTTTCCCTCTGCCTTATAATTTTGTGCATTTGAAAATTTCTTTGATAAGTCCTCTCCCCACCCTGCTACAAAAATATACTCCCTTTTCTTTTGTTAACTTTATATTTGGATAGATTTAAGACCTAAATGTGAAAGTTCCCTTTTGGTATGTAGTGTTAGGCAGGATATTAGTCTCCAAAGATAGCACCCAATGAACCATAACTCCCAATATTCACACCCTGCATAGTTCTCACCCATGTTGAATCTGGGATGGCCCAGTGTGACCAATCAATGGTCAGAAATGTCACCATGCAACTTTGTTTTGATACAGTGTCTTGCTCTGTCGCCCAGGCTGGAGTGCAGTGGTATAATCATAGCTCATTGCAGCCTTGACCTCCTGGGCTCAAACGATCCTTCTGCCTCAGCTCCCCCAAGTAGCCACCATGCCTGGATAATTCAATTTTTAAAATTTTTTATAGAGGCAGGATCTTTCTGTGTTGCCAGTCTGGTCTGAAACTCTTGGGCTCAAATGTTGGGCCTTGGCCTCCCAAATGTTGGGATTCCAGGTGTGAGCCACCACACCCAGCTATAACTTCTAAGACTAGGCCAAAGAAACCCTGGGATCTGTTAACCATTCTCCAGCCACGTGAGTGAGAATCTTGGATGCCCAGACCCGCCAAACCTTCAGATGACTTCAGCCCCAGGAGACATCTGACTTCAATCCCACGTGATGCTGCAAGTGAGACCAGTCAACCCATGGAACCATGAGAAATTATAATTTTTGTTATAAGCCACTCAGCATGGTGATTTGTTCTGCAGCAATAGGAGCAAATGGCAGGAACAAAAATTGGTGCCTGGAAGTGGAATGTTGCCATAAAAGCAACCTAACACATGTAGCATTAGGTTGAGAATGGGTGGTGACAGTGGAAGGAAAGATTTAAGGACAGCAAGAAGGCAGGAGGCAGAAAGCCTTGCTCTCATACTTAACAATGAGAAAAGACTGCAGGCACTACAAAGTCATCACTTTTCTTGAGCTCACCAGGGAGCTGAGCTCACAGGGCAATCAAGTATCCTGAATTCCAAGAGGGCAGGTCCCTCCCAGGAGAGGCAGGATGTGCAGTCTGGCTCACTTGGGCAGCACTTGGAGGAAGGGGCAGCCTTCATTAAAGTGGGTAAGAAGAAAGAAATCAGTTCAGTTTTAACAAATTGTTGGGAGCCAAGTGTGGGCTGGCATGTCGGTCTGAGATAGCAGGGGGCCCAGACAAGGTGAGAGTTTGTACACAATGACCGCCTCTTCTGTGTGCATGCTCGCAGGGTGCTCCTCCGGTGAGGGAGTGGGGAAGGATGAGGGAAGGAGAGGGACCCACTCAGTGGTGTGGGGGCTGAAAGGGCTGTTTTTGCTGTGGGAAAAGTGCCCAACCCCCTGTCCTAAGCCCCCGTTCAGTGGTGCAAAAGTCTTAAGCCACAAGCTGAGGCCAACAAACCGTGTCACTCCCAGGGCACAGCCCCATGGTGGCTTCATTTCTGGTAGGAGAACCCCCCTACCCTTGGGGGAGGTTCAGGAAACTGTACTGGGACCAAGATCCTATGTTAATATCATTCAAGATCCTATGTTAATATCATTCCCACTCCCTCTGGGGCAGAGTGGGAAGTTCTCCCACGAAGGACCTGCCCCGGATATAAGGCAGGGTCCACTGCACTGAGGCGGATGGGTGGGAAGGCTGAGAAAGATCCACCGTCCCGGGCATCTGAGAGCCTACAATTACCTCCCCACCACGAACCTGGTGGTGGGCAGCAAACCTGGTAGTCGCCACCGGGAGAAGGGCAAGAGGATGGAAAATATGAAGAAAGAGACCTCCTTCCTGTTGGGCCACTGGGGACGTGGCAATTACTACCACAGAGAGATTACTGTACACCTCCAGAACAACTGGATAAAAGGCCACCTGACCCTATCATGTGCTGATGAGGAGGTGGCATCGCTGCAAGTCTCATATTTTGCTGGTGGACATGAAAAATGCTTCAGCCACTTTTTTTTTTTTAGTACAGTTAAATTTTCCGTATATTTTGTGGTTATTTGACTAGTGTCTGCTGTGTTAGCTTCCTAGGGCTGCCATAACAAATGATCACAAACTTGGTGGCTTATTCTCTCACCATCCTGGAGGCCAGAAGTCCGAATGGAGGCGTCAGCAGGGCCATGCTTCTCCCGAGGACTCTAGGGAAAAGCCCTTCCTCATCTCTTCCAGCTCCT